ATATATATATATATATATATATATATATATATATATTGTTGTTAACTGACTTCACGTTGGTCTCGATCCATGGTGACCCTGTTGATGAGACATCTCCAAGACTCTTTGTCCTCCACTGCTCTGTTTGGTTCCTGCAGACTCATAGTCATGATCTCTTTAATAGAACCCATCCATCTAGCATGTGGCCTTCTTCTCTTTCTACTTCCCTCCACCTTTCCTAGCATTATTGTTTTTTGCAGTGATTCATGCCTTCTCATGATGTGTCCAAAGTACGCCAGCTTAAGTTTTGTCATCTTGGCTTCTAGGGAGGTTTCCAATTTGATCTGTTCTAGGAGCCATTTGTTTGTCTTTTTGGCTGTCCACTGGATCCTCAGCACTCTTCTCCAGCACCACATTATCTCAAATGAATTGATTTTCTTCCTATCTTCTTTCTTAACTGTCCACCTCTCACATCCATATATCTACTTTGGGTTTAAAAGGATTTATAGAGCATTTATGTCCAAAATCACAATTGGGCAATACCTTATTTTGACCATCCAAAATGTCACAAAAAAGTGGGCATGTTTTTGATTTCCTCAGAACTCTTCATCTGGCTTGAGGGTACAAAAAAGAAAGGGATGAGGGGGAGAAACAGAAAAATTAAAATATTGGGAGACCAGCTGCGATTTGAGATGTTTATCTCATGAACCAGCAAAGTTATCTTTGTTTTTTTACAGTGGTTTCAGTCCAATGGCTAGTCCTAACTAGCAGAGACTTTTTGAATTAGTGGACTTTAGTGTTGTTGTTGTTGTTGTTGTTGTTGTGTGGCTTCAAGTCATTTCGGTCTGATGTCAACCCTAAAGATTTTCTTGGCAAGGCTTGTTCAGAGTAGATTTGTCAGTGCCTTCCTCTGAGGCTGAGAGAGTGTGACTTTTCCAAGGCTACCCAGTGGATTTCCATGGCCAAGCAGGGATCAAACGCTGGTCTCCAGGTTCATTGTGAATTTATGAATTTATCCAATGAGTCTGCTTGGGACTAGCAATTGGATTTAAGCCACTATGTGTACCTACACACACACCAAGACATACTTCTTTGGCATCCTTTCCTGCAGAACATTAAATATTGCTCTTTATTTCTTATTGAGAAACACATTGGCTGGAAATATTTTGCCAATAAAATAATGTGGGGCTTTTCTTGCTCGAGAAGGGGAAAATGTACAAGAAAATAAACAGCAGTACTTAACATTTTTATTCCAAAACTTTACAATTTTGCTTGACAACAATAGATAGTGGGATGCAGCCAGTTCTTTTGTTAGTAATACTTATTCTAAACTGC